CCTCAGTGGCTGACACACTACCTTAGGTAATAAGATAATAAAATCAAAAGTCCATGAAAACATTAGCTCAGAATAGGTGTGTGTGTTTTTTTGTTGTTTTTTTTTGTGTGTGTGTGTGTCTGTGTGGTGGTGGTGGTGTTTTTTTGGGGGAGGAGGTGTGCTAAGAAATGTATTAAAACAAAACCCTTTGTAGAAGCAGGACTTGGTGAGTGTTGGTAACATGCATTATTTGGGTATATCACGTTATTTTTCACCTGTTAAGTGTGGATAATGACACACATCATCTCTACCTACCTTACAGTTTTTTGTTTGTTTGTTTGTTTTTAAAGCATATCTAAGAAAGGTGAGAAAAAAATGAGTACCATGTAGAAATGTGAGGGGCAGTACAGTGTAAGGAAAGGGAAGCAGGAAGGGCTGTCCTTTTACTCATAGAGAAAGGAATCCGTTACCAAATTCAGAAAAGTTGCATAGAAAGAAAATCATTTAAAATGCATTAGGGAGCTGGATTTTAAATTTTCTTGTGCCTATTCCTATTATAATGCAAATCATCTACCTGGTAGATGATCTTGGGTTTCCTACTACTAGCTTCTAAAACTTAAAGCACATTATATGTATTTATATTTAAAATAAAAAATATTAACCAGTTATTTTTTATTTCACAGAAAATAAAAAGGATAATATAAAAAAAGTTAACTGAAACCAAGTTTTTCTTTAGATTTAAGGTTGGTAAACTTTCTCTGTAAAGAGCCAGATAGTAAATATTTTAGTTACATTATGTTTTTCTTTTTTTTACAATCCTATAAAGATGCAAAAATTATTCATAGCTCAAAGGCATATAAAAACAGGGCATACACTGCAAACCCTACTGTAGATTAAGTTCTACTTAAACTTAGGTTTTACTTCAACAAAATTTCAGCAATGGGCAGAATCCCAAATTGTATGTTGTATTAAAAAAAAAAAAAGGACTTTGAAGTCTTACTGGTATGGATTTGAATCCTATTTTTTATGGCTCAATGACTTAGACAAGTTAACTACTCAGATGCTCAGCTTTCTCATATGTAGAATGAGACCAATGCTACTTGGCTGGGTGATTGATTTGGTTTAATGAAATAATTTGTGAAAGGTATTTTGCTCAGTGATTATCATATAATTAGAACCTCAACAAATGTTATTTCCTTTCTTTCCTTCCTTATCTTGCTTGACATTTCCTAGCCTTTTTTTTCTTCCTTATTTTGAATAGTTCTAACACCATTTTATACAGTGTATTTCTATGAAGTTATCTTTGTAGAAACTCTCACTTTGACCTCATTTGAGACAAAATAATTTGTCAACACTTTGTACATACTATTTGCTTTACTTCCTCTACATCAAATCTCTACCCACCAAATTCAGTCATCCTAAATTTATTTTATTAATGCTTTACAACCTATCATTTAAAAAATATTGGTATATTCTAGTAGTAAAACTTGCATGAGAATTTTAGAGAATTCAATTCTCATTGAACCTATAAAAATGTAAATATTTCTAATCATAGGCTATACTAGTAGATAAAAATACAAACTGAAAAAGTAAATATATGTATAGGGGTGAAGATAGATAGATGTTTGTTTTGTTATTTTGTTCCATAGCCTTCTGTGATTGTTTGATTTCTACCTACACCAATTATGCACCCAATATTGGAGCACCTAATATATAAAGCATATATGAACAGATCTGAAGGGGAAAATAGACAGGAATACATTAAAAATAGATAGGGGCTTCAATAACCCACTTTTGACAATGGATAGATTATTCAGACAGAAAATCAATGGGAAAACATTGGACTTAAACTGCATGTTAAATCTGATAGACCTGGTTGGCATACAATACATTCCATCTAACAATAGAATACACATTCTTCTCAAGTGCACATAGAGCAATCTTTAGAATAGATCTTGTTAGGGCACAAGTCTTGGTAAATTGAAGAGGATTGACGTCTTGCCAAGCATCTTTTCTAACCACAATGATATGAAACTTGAAATCGGTTACAAAATGAAAACTATAATATTCATATATATATGGAGCTTAAACAGCATACTCTTGAACAACCAGTATGTCAAAGAAGAAATCAAAAGGGAAGAAATACCCTCAGACAAATGGAAATGAACACAGCATTCCAAAATTTATGTAATGCAGCCAAAGCAGTTCTAAGAGGGAGGTTTATAGCAATACACACCTACATTAAAAACAAAGAGAGATCTCAAATAAAACAATCTAACTTTACACATAGGAAAAGGACAAACCAAGCACAATATTATTAAAGGGAAGGAAATAATAAATTTCAGAGTGAAAATAAGTGAAATGGAGATTTAAAAGGTAATAGAAAATATCAATGAAACTGAACTGTTATCTTGAAAACAAAATAGACAAACCTTTAGCTAAACTAAGAAAAAAAGAAGATCCAAGTAAATGAAGTCAGGAATAAGAGAAGAGACATTATAACTGATAACACAGATAAGAATCATAAGAAAGTACTATGAACAATTATATATCGACAAATTAGATAGCCTAGAAGAAATTCCTCGAAAGATACAACCTATCAAGTTTGAATCATGAGCCATAGCCGGTTTGGCTCAGTAGATAGAGTGTTGGCTTGTGGACTGAAGGATCCCAGGTTCATTTCTGGTCAAGGGTGTGTGCTTTGGTTGCCGGGGTATGCAGGGGGCAGCTGATTGATGTTTCTAACTGTCCCTCTCCCTTCCTTTCTGTAAAAAAAAAAGAAAAAAAATCAATAAAATACATTTTTTTAAAAAGATTGAATCATGAAGAAATAAAAACGTCTGAACAGAACAATGATACTTGGGAGGTTTAACCAGTAATAACACACACACACACACACACCCACAACATCCCAGCAAAGAAAAGTCCTTTCTCAAGGTCCTGGGTGTCATTCCTTTAAGAAACATTGTGTTCCTATCCCTTCAATCTCTGAAGGGGGGTAGGGCCTAAACACAAATTAACAAACATGGGTAACGTAGCCACTTTGACCAACTTCCCCTAATACCCTCCAGGACTTTTCACTAGCCTGCCCAGTGCTTAAAAACTTCCCCACCTTTGTTTCAGTGGAGTTGAGTTTAATCTATCTCCCCTATTGCAAGGCCTTGAATAAGGTCTTTCTCGTCGTCTTAGCAGGTGCAGTGCAGTGCAGTTTCCTTCCAACAGTGACTGAGAATGGAAATTCTGGAGTCAGACTCTGACTCCATTTTACTACACAAGTCACATAATCTCACTAAGCGTCAATTTGCATAAGTGAGCTGGAGATGATGCTACCTACATGCAGGATTTCTGTGGAGGATGGCATGGGCCAAGGAATGTAAAGCTCTTAGCATGCGCTGATGTCTATTAAGTACCCCGTAAAGTTTAATTGAGGTCTTATTGTTTTGGCTAATGACTACATGAAAAGCTTCTTTATGGCTCTTTTTTATTTTTAAGTAAACTACTCTAGTGTAATACATATTTCTATTTTGCTAAATTATCAATATGTACATTTCTGGGATATCTACTTTGTAAAGTGAAGCCTATCATCAACTTAGTTCTTGAAATAAATAAAGATAAATGCATCATAAATAGTGAAAGCAAGCAACCAGTTGCACACGTGATCCTGAAGTCAAGTTACTTAGAGCAGAGGGATCAGTTACTTCTGAGACTATGTAGAGAAACAGCATCTGTAGGCAAGAGACAAAACTAAAACACCATGTTCTCAGGCACTAGCAAGCTATGTTATCCAACAAATGAAGAAAACTCTGTGCTGTTTATATTTTGCAGTTCAAAATACCTCCTACTTCAGCTATCCTAAAACCAAAACCTTACAGAAACTAAAAGATACTTTTAATAGATATATTTTAAAATGCAAGTTTTATTTATTTTTATTCTTTTAGATCTATTTGTATTGATTTCAGAGAGGAAAGGAGAAGGAGAGAAACATGAATGATGAGAGAGAATCATTGATCAGCTGCCTCCTGCCTGCCCTACATTGGGGATTGTGCCCACAACCCAGACTTGTGCCCTGACCGGGAATTGAAACTATGACCTCCTGGTTCATGGGTTGACGCTCATCCACGGAGCCACGCAGGGCAATCTAAAGTACCGGTTTTTTAATATTCTATTGTCTTGAAAGGTTACCTCAATCCACAAATTTTTAAAAAAGTAGAAACTGCTTTTTTGGGAGGGTGGGGGGAGCATGGTAACAGATAGTTGGAAAGGACTGTATTTTGACTTCATGTCAAAATAAATATCTAGTCATAACGGTTTCTATTCAGTATATGCTGTGTCTGTAAAACTATGTCTCCCTCCTCTTTCTCACCCCAAAGTAATCTGAGGAAAATTCACCTGAACTGACTTCTGGCTTTAATCAACTTATATTCTGTTTGGAAACCCTACTTGCAATTCCGACTGACTTACAAATTCTGACTGGCTTGCAAAGATTACAGTGACGATATGGATCGGGCTGAATGGCAGAATACTGCATTGACGTTCCATTCTTAAATACAACCTGCTGGTGTGTGTTTTGAGTCATTACCTCTTACAGTCAGTTCACTATTTTTATACTTCCTGTTCATGGAAACGCCTATAACATTAGGTTTGTATATGTAGATTGTTTGCTCTGAAACAGTTTTATGTGACTGAGAAGGGGTTACAAGAAAAGGCAGAGCCCAGTAGCTGCATGAATGCAGATAAAAATGCAGGTTGTGGTTTATGATGTCTAGGTGCCCAACTGGAGGGGAGGGAATTTGGGAGCAAAATAAAAAGAATAAACTCTAAGTCAACTCAGAAGCAAGATATACCTGTGATGAAGTAAGGTTTGAAACCGGAAAGTTAGCTGTTGTGTCTGTTCTATCCTAAGGCACCATTTGGTGTAATACAAATGTAGGTATAAGACTTCTTAACCTAACAGTTTCTTAAGACTTAATGATAAAGGTTACCTTTTCAGAGGATGAAAGCATGGTTCACTTGTCTTTCAGGTTTATCTTGCAGATTACGGACTTGCCTACAGATATTGTCCCAACGGGAACCACAAGCAGTATCAGGAAAACCCTAGAAAAGGCCATAATGGGACCATGGAGTTTACCAGCTTGGATGCCCACAAGGGAGTAGGTAAGTCTCTTTTTCTCTTTTTTATTTCACAAGAATAATTACAGAATAATAAGACTCCATGAAATGACCTTTGCGTAGTCACTTCAAGGACTGAGAGCACTGGTGAGGTGTTGTCTGCTAGTGAATATTTGTTTTATAGGGAGAGGAGATACAGTGGGGGAAAAGCACAAGGGTTTCAAAGAAGTAAAGCTTGATGCTTATTTTGGGCAGGAAATTAGTAGTTTGCATAGATTAAACTTGGAGGTCAGAACTGAACTTCCATGCTGTAGTGAAGAATGCAGATTTGGTAAAGAATTTGGTGAAGAATTGTTCCTGCTTTTCATTGTGCCCTTATCAGAGTTTCAGAAGATACCATCTCTCAACAACAAGAAAATCTCTTCTGAAACTATAAAGTGTTAATTTGTGGAAATCTCTCCTAGTCGCCTTTCATATATCTTACTTATTTAAACTCACTTTGATGGTATTGGAAACACATTTGCAGGTAAATTACATACATAGTCCTTTTATTGGATATTGATTGTACTGCCTTGCATTCCAGGGCAGACTTAATTCAACAATTCCCTAATTAGTTAAAGTCATAACCTATGTCTTGTATTCATTTACCATTAATTAAACCTTAGCTGTTTATTACACTGCAGTCCAAATCCAATAGCCGGCCCAGAAAGCCATGGAAAAGGAAATAGGAGGTCAATATTGAAAATATATGGTGCAGAGTCCCACTGATGGTTGCTTTGTTCACAATCAATATGGTCAATGCAACTGTACTTTCTTAGTTGCTCTGTCAGCAAGACAAAAAGTCAATTCTAATGTTATGCTAGTAAAAAAAAAAAAAAAGTGATTATTGAAAAACTTTGGCTTTCAAAATTATAGTCCTTAAACTTTGTTTATAAAAGTATTTTCAAGTTTGCTAAGCCATACAAAGAATTATAAAACAGCTTGGAAAGAACCACATTGTCACTAAAAGGCAATTAGACATGTGCACTTGTTAATGACTGGTGAACTGTTACCCTAAACTGAGACTTTCTAACGAGTTTTAGTTGGTGCAAACAACTGTATATTATTGCCTTTTCTATTAAAAGGACCATTGGCCATGTAATGGAGAGGGGTTTTGATCATTTTCCAGGGCAATTAAAACCCACCCCAGTTTAAGGTACGCCAGTGCAGAAGTGAGACAAGTGTGTGGGATAGATACTGTCTTTCTTTCAGGAAAAACCATAGGTTACATGTTCTGAAATAGAAATTAGCTTTTATACTTTGGATCAGAAGGAAAGAAATCACTACATTACTTTTCAAGGGTAGTTTGGTTAGGAAAGTAATGACCACTCAGAAATGAAGAAATCTTCTGTATTTTTTCACCATTTACATTATTAATGAATCAGGGAGCATTCAAAAATACAAGTCGGACATGGTTTAAATTAAATTAAGAAATATAAGAATCAAATGCTCATTGAGAGTGGGTTCTTGTTCAATTTAAAGTTCTTTTGCTGTCAGTGAATTTTCCTCTTTTGCCAGATTCATCGGTGTGAAATAACTTTCAGGAATCTGGGAATCCGTTTTTGATAGTGGTATAACTGGAAATTCATCATACAGATTCTTAAGCATTGGTCTGATTATGTTAATGACTAGAGGCCAAGTGCACAACATTCTTGCACTGGGCGGGGGGGGGGGGGGGGGGGGGGGGGAGGGGGAGGGGGAGGGGGAGGGTATCCTCAGCCCAGCCTGCATACTCTTGCAGTTTGGGAACCCTCAGGGAGCCTAAGCCCTCAGTCGGACATCTTTAGCACTGCTGCAGAGACTCCTGTCACCTCTGCTGCTCTCTCCAGCTGTGAGCCTGGCTTCTGTCTCAGCAAAACTCCCCCTGTGGGAGCACACTGACCACCAGGGGCAGCTCCTGCATTGAGTGTCTGCCCCCTGGTGGTCAGTGCGCAGCACAGCAGCCAGTCTTTCTGCCATTTGATCAATTTGCATATTACCCTTTTATTATATAGGATGATATTAACTTATGGTTGGACCACTTATTTCAACTGGTAGTTTTGATCTTGATACATTGTGGTTTTGGCTATTAAAACAGCTAAGAAACCAGTGTGATATTTGAATGGGAAGAAGAGGTGCTACATGTTAATCTGGACAGTGTTTGGACTGTGGTAATCTAGAAGTCCTCTACAGTTATTCCATAGTTTAGGGCACATGTGTCAAACACAAGGCCCGCGGGCCAAATCCGTCCCGCCAGGCCTTGCAATGTGGCCCGCACCACGCTGTCATCACTGCACTCCGCTGCATTTCCATCACAATGACAGTTTATGACTGTTCAGTAAACCATTCGGCCCGCGATTTAGGCTGGATTTTAGATTTTGGCCCCTTCTCTGATTGAGTTCGACACCCCTAGTTTAGGGCATTGCCTTTATTGTGCTATCCTCATAAAATATTTGAACAAATTGTTATTCTGTAGTTCGCTTAAGGTTTTTCCTCCCTCAATAATTATACATGTGATTAGTTAGGTAGATTTCACCATGGTAGGGCTTTGGGGGAGTATATTAAACTGAGAATGATGGTAGAAAGATACTATCTTCCTGGCAAGACTATTCAGAGAAGAGTCTGTATTATATATTTTTGGTATTTGCTGGAAAGTCATATGCTGGAGTGAATATTTACTTTTATAGGTTTTATAGGATACCTATAAAAATATCTCCTTAATGCATTTAAAATAGAATTTATACTAAACTTCCAGGCATATCTGTATCTAAATATACAGATATTCATGCATACCTATTTACATACATACACATATATTCACACATACATAGCTAACACACACACACACACACACACACACACACATATTTACTGAAATTTAATATGCAATTTTAGTCTGCTGTACGAAGTAAAGGGTTTTATATCCTCTATGTTTTAATTCATTTCTAATTGGTTTACATTTAGTTTTTCTAAATAAAACATTTCACTTTAGGATTTTATTAGAAATGAAATAATCATTTAGTTATATCTAGGAACCAGAATAAACATGGCCATAAATCCTGTAGGTTAATGCAGAAGGTCAAATTCATAAATATGTATGTGTTTACTTTTGGTACTGCCACTGTGCAGTTTAATCTCAGAAAAATGTTTTCTATAACAGTCCGACTATGAGATCAAATAAATACTCAGAGAGATAATGCAGAGGAAAACGTAAAGAACAGAACAAGCTGTCACTGGGAGATGGAACCTCTAGGTGTCAAAGCATTTGTCCTGTGTCAGTTGTCTGTGTCTGGTCAGGCCCAGGGAATATTCCAGCTTCACTGTGAGACTGATTTGTGAATTAACCATTTAACAGAGATTGTTAACCTGATCAGACTCGCTAATCTCTGTACTTTTTATAGTGATTATTCGTAAAACACAGCTAACTCATTTTTTTGTGGATTAATTGTTTTTTTTTATAGTTAAGGAGTTTGTGTAAGGTGTCGATCAGCAGTTTGACCTAAGCATTTTCTAGTTCAACTTTATTTAAAAGCAGGGTAGCTTGTATTATTACAAACTGAAGAGATACATACAGTGGGGTGGTTAGATTGACAGATGAATGGATAAATAACTATGTCTGTAACTATCATACATCTATATATCTGTATGTTTTTTAAAAATTGCAGTTACTCTTTCAAACTCAATTCTCTTGAATGACCTAAAGGTATTTTCTGAGTGGCTGAAGTGCTTCATTTAGTGTAAAATTAGAGTCATGTATGTTGGGCTTATCTCTTCTATTATCAATTTTTTTTTTCTTCCTAAAAACTAACATGTATAAACATTGACATATTTTAGGCTCGTTGCCTGATAATTAAAGAGAATTATATCTGTGTCAAATATACTATTTTAAAATTTGTTACATTCTTAGTAATGTTAAAAAAGCAATATTTGGATCAATGTGTGATATGGATTTTTGTAGATTTTTCTACTCACTGACGCATGCAGTCAATACCTAATTTCTCTTGAGATATACTGCGTTTAACATATTGAGCTTTTTTAAATACTTCAGACCTGTGCATTGAGTGTATAATGCCTGTTTTAATTTGACATCATGGATGACCGTAAAATATGATATCTAAATTGCATTTTAAGTGGCTGTTTGTTTATGTAATATATTCAGTATCAAGGAAAGATATATTGCATACTTTTTTTTTTTTTTTTTTTTTTTTTTTGCCAATTGCTAGCGTGTATGAAATCCAAGTCTTGTGTTATTTCTTGCATGGTTTCACTTCACTATAATTTAGCATTCCAACTTACAAAATATATGTGAAATAAACTGAGAATGTGTTTTCATGTTACCAAACTTGGGGAGGTGACATGATATTTATCTTCTTAAACAATAATTCAAAAAAGGAACCCAATTTTCCAATGTCAAGGGAAGCCATCAAGTTGTTGATGTGCTCTGTTGGAGCTTTTAGTAATCAGAAAAAAATACTGTTGATTTCTATTTTTAGGTAAATGTATCTGCTGTAAATAGTCTTTGGTTGATGTATCTATCAATAAGAATTAATGAGGACACTATTTCTTCTGCATGCATAACCCAATTCTGACATTTAGACATGACTTTTGAAGTCATGACATAGGACTTGAACTCTTTGGTTGGGTTAAGAATACACATCGACCAAATGCAAGATGCCTACAGCTTTGCTCTGTTGAGTAACATGTCCTAAGCCCGCCACTGTAGTGTTTCATAAAAAACTAAGGCTTAGAATTTAAAAGGTACATTAAAAAATAAGGATTTAATATTTTCTTTGCATTGTCGCATATTGCATTCTTTCTTCCCAATGTCATTCTTTTTGAAATTGCAAACATTTGTGGCCACCATAACAGTTTCCAGCTTGTTACATATATGAATTTACAAAATCCTGAATAACAGAGATTACTAGTTAGAAACATAAAATTAAAGTTTAGATTTGTTTTGCAGATAGTCACCTTCGCCTTGCCCAGATGAGCATATTATTCAGATGCATTCTGCATTCCTATTGTCATTTCTGAGCATATAAATGAGTATTTGGGGCATTTAAACCCCGTTTGCTTGAGGCAAAAGTTTTCAAGTTCACTTTATTGTTTCCTACTAAACTTGTTTTTCTTCACACTTCATAATGGTACTCTCTGTAAGAAATAAAACTAAACAGAAAACCCTTTAGGCAAATAATCAGATTCATTTTGGGATTAACACTTGCACTTTTCTTGTTCTCTCAATTCCTCTTTCATTCCATTGGATGAATTGGGCCCAGATGATTTCACTACAGTTTGGTTTTATCAATAGAATAAGGCCCAGCTCTCTAAGGTAACTCCTCTGTTCATGTACCCTCTTGGAAGGACCATTTAACACTTTATGAATTAATGTTTTAACTAGACATAATTCTTCTTTAGAATGAAGTAGTTTGAAAGAAATAGTATCCTGAAAGGGTAGTTGTATGAAAAATTTTTGTGCTACAGTTCAGAACTCAGGATTTGCTGCTGGTTTATTTCTTGTCCAAAGAACTGTCTTTGTCTCTGTGTATCTTTTGGTGTGTTAAATTAAAATGCCTACTTCAAGTAAGTCTCTAACTATAGAAGGAGTATATGTAATGTTGTTTGAATGATGTTAAAACTAACATTGGAAGCAAAATAATTATTAGATTGAGTATGGGCTTTGGATTCTGAAAGAAGGATTTTAGTACAGAGCTATGTCAAATATTGCTCTGTGATACTGAGCAAGTTATTTAACCTCCCTAAGCCTCTGTTTTCTTACTTGCCAACAGGGTTAATAATACCTACCTTATATTGTTAAGATGAGTAACTGAGGTAATATCAAAGCAGTCAGAGCGTCTGGCACTGTAGCAGCTTCATAAATCACATCACTTGTATTTATTTTAAGGACACATTTCAGTGTCACCTGTTCCTGTCGTAAGCTTTCTAATGAAACAGAATTCAAGTTCCTCCCTGTGCCTTACTTTTCTGTCATTGTTCCTCTAGGCCAGTGGTCGGCAAACTCATTAGTCAACAGAGCCAAACATCAACAGTACAACGATTGAAATTTATTTTGAGAGCCAAATTTTTAAACAAACTTCTTCTAACGCCACTTCTTCAAAATAGACTCACCCAGGCCATGGTATTTTGTGGAAGAGCTACATCCAAGGGGCCAAAGAGACGCATGCGGCTCGCAAGCCACAGTTTGCCGACCACAGCTATAGGCAATATTTTATAATTTAGAAATGTTGAACCATTGAGAACACCACAGGCTTTTCACAAAAAGAGTCATGTACATTGCTTCATATTAATAAGCTAAATGAAAGTTAGATGCGAAATTATATTTGGAAACTAACAAGAGAGTGTAGAAGATATTATTAACCAAATTTGTTACATTCCAAGAGCACGATAGGTAATGGATGTTTTTAGGAAGTCTATGTGAAAATATACTGTTAATGATTATATTATAAATATAACTGAAGAGCTCCATATGTTACAGTAAATTATATAGAAATACAAATTATACAGAAACAAAAGAATCCATACTATATTTTAACTTTCAAATTAAATATTTTTATACTTAGACATTAGTTCTCTTCAAACATAATCAATTCTTGTTTTTATTTTCAGCATTTTACTTAATTCTTTTGAAATACAAAGGAAATAATAGGATATATGTAGTAACTATCAAAACATTCATTCAGTAATTATTATTTGGCATGTCATTTATTGTCTGATATATTTTAAAATCAATTAGATATATATGATCAATTGATTGTGTTGCACACATATTGACATATCATCTAAAATATTTATTTTTAATTAAATTAACAGATACTAAAATTACTTTTTTGTGTACAGTAGATGGAAAGAAGACCTAATTGTTGGTAGAAACTTAGCATTTAATTTCACTGAAACATATCAGTTTTCCCAATTTATTTTTCTGGGAGGGAATTTCAGGGAGGTCATGTACTTATAAACATTTTTAATATTTCATCTCATTCTTTAATGGTGGGAAAGAGAAACTATAGGATGTTATTAAATATTACATTTATTTCCATAGAACTGAATGGAAACACTGGTAAAACACCTACCTAACCTTTTTTATTGTATAATATTACAACAAAAAAAGTAAAACATTGAAAAATGTGATGATGTATTTTATTTAGGTAAGGCCAAACTGTAGTAGTGAAGTAAAGTTAACTCTTCTTAAAGGGCTATTTCCAATGAGACCAGTTTATGAAAGATTGGCTTCAGAAATCTAAATGACTTGTCATTACTGCTGCTTCGGATCAATTAATCCCTTAGTCAGAGGGCGGGAGAAAGTGACTGGAAAATTCATTCAATTTTAATTCTTGATTGTTTTTCCTCAGAGGCCTGCTTGTGTGTAGCCTGTGTCCTCCAAACAGGTGCCAGAATATAATTTTTCAAAAATTAGAGGACGTGGATTTTTTAAGTGGTGGTAATCGGGAATTGCCATAATGGAAAAGGGACGTGTGAACACATCTGTAAAAATGGAGCCATTCCATTATTAATGGGAGATTTATTGCTGAAGAAATCACTACAAAACTGTGTGGTAGAAGCCGTGTTTTTATTTTAATACGAGAGCCAGGACTCGCATTAGGACATTGTTGAAGCTCGTGCAGAAAGCAAATGGCACCCAGGGGATTGCAGCATTCTGCTAGACTGAAGGGCCTTTAATGGTCCCAGTCTCTAATAGCAGTTAAGATGGAGTGCGTGTGAGAGCTAATCTTGTCTTCTGCTTTTATAAAAACTTAGGCATAGTTACCAAAAGTAGGCGTGCTGTGTTAGCATTATATTGTTCTTAGCATTATAACTTTTAAAACTAAAAACTAAGGTGACTGAGCAATATATTAATATATATATATATATATATATATATTTTTTTTTTTTGGAGTTTATTTCATGAAAGATAAAATAGAATACCTGTTTACAGAAAATTAGAACAGCCGCAAATTACACTCAGGAGAGTGTCTATACCTGCACCGGTGAGCTTGCACGTAGTGGCAGAAATGTAAATACCAACTTGTCGTTTTGTAACAGGTTAGAATGGTTAGAAATAGTTTATTTTGTAAGATTTCATTAATATATTCATCATTATTTCAGTAAAAAAATTTTTATATATGACATGATTCTTAGGTTTCGTTGTCCATCTCTTTAAATCAGGCACTTTTTAAAATGTAAAGTTATGATGGAATTAATTTACAGCATTTATTATTGTAGTTCGATATAAACGATATTTGCTGTGGCCTAACCATGTTCTTTTACTGCATTTTATATAAAAAAGGCTGAAAGCTTCTGTTTGGCTTCAAAATTGACTTCCGGCCACTTCCACCATGCACACCATTGCCTTATCTTTCTATTTTCTACTCAGGATATTTGACCCAGAATCTTAGCTTAGTTCCGCTTAAATCTATAACGAATATTTGTGAAATTTTTAGAACCGTGTACCCAAAACAGAAGGCATATGTATCCTCCACTTTCACTAAATGGAAAATCTTAAAGACAGCCCTGGTTTTCCATCCTGCACACTAGATGGCAGTTTTGTCATATTCTTCCAACTCCGAACGCTGCTCGCGTGAGGGGAACGGAAAAGGCCATCAGTGTTTAGTCTGCACTCAAAGGGTCTCTGCATGACCAATGCAGACCCCATGGACTTCCTGGAACATGTGTTAGCAATTTAGCTGCAGACATTTATTTCTTTGTTTTACTGCTTGGCTCTTTGAGAAAGTGTTGGTGCCAGGTTATGGGTTGTCTGGATCATGTCAGAGGCCATGGAGATCAAGTTCATGTGACAGGCCAGACTGAGGAAGGATGAAGTTGGAGGAGGTGAGGAAACTGACCCTCCCTTTCAACAGCCACAAGTCACTGCCTGTCTGCGGGCTGGAGCCAAGCGCCTTGGCGTTTTAAGTTCTACTCCAGCTGAACAAACAAAACACGTTGCCCGTTTGGCTTTTTCATATTTCATCAGGAGTAGTGAAATCAGCGGCTTCTCCGTCTCTCAAAACGTGTGCTTATCCCTCCTCTCTCTCTCTCTCAACGCCGACTGCTCTAGCCCTGTCCAGACGGAGTGACCTTGAGATCCTGGGCTACTGCCTGCTGCGGTGGACCTGCGGGAAGCTGCCCTGGGAGCGGAGCCTGCAGGACCCGGCGGCTGTGCAGGCTGCAAAAACAAAGTAAAGGTTTTCACGTCTCCTATCCTGTGCGGCAGCAGGTCTGCAGGGACCCACTGGGGGAGTTAGTGTCCCATTCGCCCAACATGATCACTAAAGCAAATTTCTTAAATTTGAAAAATATTTTATGAAAAACCGAGCAGCTGACAGACATCAAATGCATTAGGATGACGCCTATGAAATCACATGTACGGGAGTGGTAATACAGAATGCAAAGCGAGGTAGTTGCTCCTTTACATGGTGTTTTCCAAAGCTTAGATTCTAGGTGGTGGTGTTTTCAAGGAAGAGGGTTTTCAAATTAGCATTGTGCACGTATATGCAGCCAGCCCGAGCTGGGTGTGACTGATATTAACAGAGAGACAGTCACATTGGGCAGACACGGCCTATATTTTTCAAGGGAGAGGAACCTACCTCTTTCTTAATCTTGTGTCTTGGAGAGAGTATGTTTTGTTTCTGAAAGAAGAAACAGTTTTTACAGGAGGCGTTTATATAAAAAGTAATCTTGCAGCCACATAAACATTTTTAATATTTCACATTCAGTTTTCCTCAGAATCTGTTAGCATGAAAATTAGGTCAGACCGAGAAGAGAGTGTGTTGCTATTTTACTATTTTCTCACTTATCAAGCCTAAGAAAAAGTCAATTGCATGTAGCACAGACTAGCCATTTTTTTTTTATTATTATATACCAAGATATGCCCAACAGTCATTATCCACAGATACTAGTATATCAGCATCGGGAAAGGCAGCAAGGCAGCTGTGTTCTCAGTAGGGCATGTTACAACAGAAGTTTACAAAAGAGTTAGCTGATTCACGTAAATCAACTTTCAGATTCAGTGTGGCACCGGTTCTTACGAGAGACAAAGGGTAGCCTGCAGATGCAGAATAACAGATTATTGCAAATATGGATGTATTGTCTACTATAAGAAATGTTTCTCCACTTGGAATCTTGATCACTCTAGTCCCTCACCCAAAATGAACACATTTATATAAATCAATATTAGTTATCACTACAGTGAGCAATGTATCCGTATTAACCCCCATGTAACTGACATTTTTCAGTCTATGGGTCAAGTCAAAACTCAGTAATGGGCATAAATAATAAACAGTCCTGGCAATTTTTCACCTCAGTTTACTGAGTTTGAATATTGTACTTTATTTCAAAGATTAGCAATTTACTTCTAATGACTATTTGTTTTTCTCATATTAAAACTTTCTGATGATTTTAGTCTGTTATCAATCTGCATACATAGATGCAGTCATTTTAGATATCTTTAATGAATGTGCCTACAGATGTATATTCAAATATAATAATAGGGGATTATGTAAAATAATAAAATGCCAATAAATATAAACTTGATTTACATTTGGGGGTCCTTACATATATTAATATCTTCATTTTGATTTATTAGTAAAACCTTTAGATCAGTAAAGCTAATATATTATGAGATGTATAATTAAGGTAAACTGTAGACATTTTCACACATCTTATTGTGTATAATACATAGTCATAATTTATTCCACTTGCTGAGGAGGCATAACACTGAATTTTCCATAAGGGCATACTTGCATATTCAACCATACTACCATATCTCCCTTATGCCTTTTATTTTCCTGACATAGGGTAGTATCGGTGCATTTATTATTGCAATTCTGCCTGTGTCCAAGTTTATGAATCACACATCCATATCAGTAATTTTCATTAAATGTTTATATTGTTGTGGCTGAAGCAACTTAAGAGAATTGCACTTGTTCAGTCTAAAAGATTGGAAATGGTTACAATAATGGTTGTTTTTGTTTATTTGTTTTTGGATATTTCTTGTTAATCAGTTTAACCATAGAATAGCATGGAACACTGCCCAATAGAGAACACTATACATAGGTAATTAAATAATTTGCCTCTCCCCAATAATAAGTTCTTGAGGAAAAATATCCTTAAAATCAACATGCATTTTTCTTCTATGTATTTTTTCTTAAGAAAAAAAATGACAGACATTGCTACTTCTTCCATTTTACACGTGTAAACTTTGAATTAAGTCCTACATTGTTTAGTTTCTAGGGGATTGATATAAGATTGGTCAGTGAGAATTGGGAGATCTTCCCCAGCTCCACTTTCCCTCTTATTTATTACTGGTGGTGAAAAAAAGGTACTCAGGTCAAGTATGGGTGACTCAACAACGCAGACTTTGGGTTTTGTCTGCTAATCAAAGCAGTGGATCACCGAATGGGAATTGCAAACAGGTTCATTGTGTGTTACTCTTTTGTTTCAGTGGGTCACAGGATCCTAAACAAATTCATTTGTGTGTTACTCTTTTGTTTCAGCCTGTTGGATGAGCTCCCTGAGTCTGTGCTTAAATGGGCCCCTTCTGGAAGCAGTTGCTGTAAGTAAATGATAACTTCTGCCTCCTCCCGTATGCTTGACAGGTCACCACATTTGTCACTTCTGTTTTACAACTTTTTAATCCACCCACTCCCATTCCTCAGGGCGGGGAGGAAACTCTCCAGGGTTACAGACGGGTTGCTGGAGCAGAGACTGTTAGGTCCCTTCTGACTTTAGGACAGGAGAACACCGCACCAGTGTTTAGGCCGCTTTCTAGGCTCTGCTGACTGAGATTTTTGTTGTTGTGGTTGTTTTGTTTTTTTTGTTTTTGTTTTTTATATACATATCTTACGGGAATCATGCCCAGGTTTAATACACAGCTTCATCTTGACTTCCTATTTTAGTTCCTCTATATGTTGTTGAAAGAAGATAAAGTTGATCTATGAAAACACGACTTTAAATCAGTAATTAAAAAAAAAATTATTAAAACCTTGAATGTTGTTAGACCCTGGGTTACACACTGGCTGAACAGCCAGCAACAAAATTTTGGATTGGCAAAAGCATGTGGTACTGGAATTTGGAGATAATATTTCATCAAATCATTTTCCCTTCCAAATTAGTCTAGACCATTTTGGGAGCTCTTTAATTTGACCTCAGTAGTAGTAAAAATAATAAATCGATTCAGAGTCACAAAAGTGCCTGCCATTTGCAATACAAGTGAGGCACCAATTTAAGCAAGTGGGTTACATTGTCTTATAGACCCTTTGGCCGTCAGGCTTGCTTTTTCTCCGAGATAGATAAGCAGAGTGAATCTTGTTCTCTGTTTATATGGGGCAGTCTCAAAGTTAGCTTTAACCTAACTTATGAAAGTGAATATGCACACTGACTCTCTAGCTAAGGTCAGACAGTGTCAATTTCCATCTGAGGGCTTAAAAGCTAAATCATCTTAAACTTCCTTACATAGCCCTTCTTTGACAAGAGACAAAGTTTTCATTTTCATAGGAAACCAAAGAGGAACAAACCAGACCTGCTCTGCCACCGCTATTTCCCAAGTCCATACATCTGCCATCTTGCCTTCTGCCCTCCCTTTGTTACTGAAGGAATCCTCATTTAGGGGATGGGTTTGAAAGATGAAAGTGTTTTGTTTTTGTAATTGCACTAAGCAACTTGGTCCAAATGCCAATATTCATTTTTGGCTAATACTTAAAAAAAAAAAAATATATATATATATATTATTGATTTCAGAGAGGAAGAAAGAAAGAGAAAGAGAGAGATAAAAACATCAATGATGAGAATCATTGATCGGCTGCCTTCTGCACACCCCCTACCAGGGATCGAGCCCACAACCTGGGCATGTGCCCTGACTGGGAATTGAGCAGTGACCTCCTGGTTCATAGGTGGATGCTCAACCTCTGAGCCACGCCAGCTGGGCTCGACTAATATTGTTATTGACATTTTCACCAGGTCATACAGTTTGTGTTTCACTTAGCAAAAAAACAAGAGACCTGGGGAGATTTCCATAAAAAATGTTTAATTGTACACCTCGTATTATCTCCTTTACCTTTCCTGTCCCTCCTGCACAAAAGGTCAGTGTGCAGTTCCAGGCCAGAAAAGAGCGCCCAGATGCCCTGGGTGGTGTAAGAGAACCTTCCATGACACTTCCACTGCTAAGGCCCGGTCAGAGGAAGAGGAGAGTGGAAGTCACGGGGGCAGTGCCAGGCCCCTCTCTTTCAGCAGTCGAGTCTATAGAACTGTTCCATAAAATGCAGATTTCTGTTTCTAAAGAACAACACGTTGAGCCATTAATATTTACTGAAGGTCTCTTAAGTTAGTTGATTGTGCTTAGGAGAATGGGTATTCTAAGCAGGGCAATTAAACTGATTTACAAAAGGTCCATTATCGAGACATTTTACAAAATAAAACAGCCAAGAAGTTTGCAGCATGCTTGCCTAACTCAGTGTAATAATAGTAGTTTCAAAAGTTTCTATCTCTTGAAATGATAGTCAGTAATGATACTTAATATTTTGCTAGCTTAAAAAGCAGATGATTCAAGGGTATCATAATTTCATACTACTCAAAGTGTTTTGTTTTATAGCTCTGGAAATATGCTAGTAAATTAGAAAGTGTACTTAATATAATAAATCCAGATCTTGAAAGGCTAACATTTAAACCAGTACTACATCACAGAAGTCTGAGCTCCAGGATTATAATCATGCATTTGTAACAGAGGCGGGTCTTTGCTTTTTCTCCCTCTCCGACCTCACTTGTACCTAGTGTTTTTCAAACCCCAGACCTGTGAAGGCTTTGCAGAACAGCTGCTCCCAGCCAGTGGAATGCCAGGAGTCTTCCTTCCATTGTCTTCTAACGGCTTGTGGTGAAAAGTGTTCCCAGCATATCCAGCTCTGCTCTCTCCATTTGGGATACTTTGGTTAATAGAATTGTAAGATATACCATACACGCTTGCCAATCTTGAAGGGCGCAAAGAACCACAGAATATTTATATTAAAATAGCAGTGAATGTAATTTAATCTTTTTCCTCCTTGATCATCCCTCCAGGAATTGGACGCCCCCAGAGGGCTCCCGCAAGCCTTAGTTATAAATATGATGGAACCCCTGTACTTGCCAGTTAATAGAAAATTGGCTGATGGAATGCTAGATAACAGATTTCATATACATTAGAGGGGGAGGGGGGAGTAAAGTAGGTTGCATAATTGCCACAGTGTCCAAACAAATAAACACATGAGCCTGACGTCCCTGGAGAATGGCTGTGGACAGTTTGGTGTGTAATGGTCACTCCCTGACTTTCATCTAGCAAAACAGATGATGGCTGTGTCTTTTGGGATTTTTCCCTGTGGGCACTGAAGCCCCGTTTCTCTGTCTTTCCCGGACCAGATTGAACAGAGGTAGGGCTGGAGGGAGGGGAAGAGAAGGCTGGAAGTCACTCCTGCCACGCTTCCCAGATACCTTCACTGTGGGTGTGAACAGCCTCGCGGTAAAGTGAGAAGTACTTGAGTCTGGGTTAGTGATACGTCTTTGAAGGGGAAAGGCTTGTGAAGACTAGTGCGTGAACTAGTCTAAACCTCCAAACGTCACCACAAACAAAGGAACACATGCCCCTTTTTAAACAGTGTATGGTCTTATCCTTGTACATAGATTGTAGATTGAAGCTTCATGAAACAGAGATGCAAAAACCACATTTGTTTTAAGGCTCTGCTATGTTTATAACTTTTGGTTACTGATTCTATTTGTTTTTAAAGGTTTGTAGTTCATATATATATATTTTTTTTTGGGGGGGGGTGGGGAGAGAGTTACCTTATAGTCCCAAGCAAGAGATGACAGTAGAAAAAAAATAAAAGTTAGCAACTCCTCATTTTTCTGCACTAAATCAGGAAGGCTGTGATGGGTTTGTATTGGGCTAGCCAGGTATGGAGGTTTGGTGAAGTCTGCAGTCAATCACGGCTGAACACATACAATTCAAGGTCATTTATAAATAAACTGCTATAATCTCAAAATCAAAGCCTTAATTAAAATTTGGAATTATTTTTTTTCCCTTTGAAACAGTTGAGAACTGCTTTCCATCGGAAAACACAGATTTTTACATTACGATTCTTTAACGGTAGCAAAATTACAGTTATGAAGTAGCAAGGAAAGTAATTTTATGGTTGGGGGTCACCACAACATGAGGAACTATATTAAAGGGTCATGACATTAGAAAGGTTGAGAACCACTGATTTGAAGTAAAGAGGTTTATAGTAAGTACCAATTGTTTTTAACTGATTTTTTAAAACCTCAACATAAGATAAAAGCATCTATCATATTACTAGGGTAGTTCTTAGAACTTGTAACCCATAAATCAAAATCACTATAATATAAAAAGTTTGCTTTCTTTAGATAAGATTAGTGATTTAGTAAGTATAGGGTGTTCCTCCCCCTCTCTCCAAAATGTAAACACATACTTAGAATAATTATAAAGGCAGTATTTATTAAAATACATTTCATTTTTAAAATTGAGCAATAAGTTGTTAGAGTATATACATTTTAGTGGGGGGGACACCCTGTATATACAAAAATATGTAAAAAAAAAAATGTTCCTCTCATCTTGTCAATCTATAGGTAACTATGTTTCAGTCATTTTTGGATATCATTTAAAAAGTGCTTTTCATTCAATGGTTTATTCTTAGTTTCTTTAGGATGTGTGTGTGTGTGTAAGAGAGAAAAATGATTTTGAAAATACTAGTGTCTTGACATTCCTTTGCCGATTATGAATGACATGTAAAAAATTTAATACTTCACAGATGAAATAGCCCAGTATTTGGTATGTGCTCATAATTTAGCATATGATGAAAAGCCAGACTATCAAATGCTCAAGAAAATTCTGAACCCAGGAGGAATACCTTTAGGACCATTGGATTTTTCCACTAAAGGAGAGTGTGTAAATGTGCGTACTCCAGACCATCAAAAAGTAAGTATCATAGTCCCTGGGATTTTATGATTGCCTCCTGTGAAGCTTGCTTCCAAGTGAGATTGTTTTAGGTTTCAAATGAGTTTGACAACTCAGTTTTTTATTTATTATATTTAATTCCTATTTCCCTTAACTCAGCTCCAAGAATTTGGTTGAAAGTTCGACGTATTGTTTCTTTCTTGCAGAAAAATAGTAGGATCTGTGGTCTGTTGTGTACTATTAAAGCAGTAAAATGGTCACTGTTGTCATAGAGATGCAACTAGGTTAAGTCTAATCTGACTTTATTTATAAGAACCTTTATTTGCTGCTTTTCTTCAGATTTTCTTTAGTTATTTCCCTGTTTTTTGCAGACCAAATTGGCCATAATTTGATGGTGAAAATAATATTCTTAGACTTAAGCAGATTATTTGTATATGCTGATATTTCTATTTATAGAAGCAATTCTTTTTTTTAAGTCAATTTTAAAAAGTCGTATCCCCTCCTTTATTCTGCTGTTTTCTGAGTCCCTCGTGCCAATTTAAAAAAAAAAAAAAGAATTAGAACTTGCAAAAGGATTAAATTTGAAACAATGCAAAAGAGTTAGGACAAACTATTTTTTAAGAGGGTGGGGAAACCTGAGACTGCAGTCAGCAACATGACTGGACAGGTTACTAAATGGCCATTTCTCCCTTGCCACCATCCACATGCAAAAAATAAAAAATAGAAGGGCTTTTTCTCCCCTCATGCGTGTATAATAAGGTAGGGTCAGGATGCCATTCATTTTTAGTGTTTCTTATGAACTTTGGATCATCACACGTGTTCATGAGCCAAGAATGCAGGATGCAAACTAACGTGACGGATAGGCTGCTGGATGAACGGTGAGTCAAGTATCTGAGCACAGATGGTTCTGATTTGCTGAATTTTGTAGCTGCTGCAACTGAAGACATAAAATATCCTTCTAGTCATAAATTAGCTCTTTGGAAGCAAAACCTTGACACCAGAGCTTTACAACCTTCAATTAGTAGGGAAAGAAGTATTTGAATGACTGTGGTATTGACATCTGTAGGCCTGCATAGTAATCATTCCTAATAGAAGAGAATATCTGTTTGAGGAGGTTTTGCATGGCTAATTAACTACTAGTGAGAATATGTAATTTTTTCATGATCTCCTGATTGTCACCTTTCTCTCATGATACAATTACATTTTATTGTAGCAAGTGCCTCACAAACCAATTGTCAGCACTATTTACTTATTGCAGAAGGCAGAACAAAAGTTCATGTTTAATAAAAAGCCACTGGATTTTGATCTTGGTAATTACGGAGACTTATTTCAACAGTTTTATTGACTTTTGTGTTTTAACACTTTTGCAACAAAACAAAGAGCATTTCCTTGACATAGTATTTCCCTTGCAATAATGGTCACCATTTAGTCTACACTAAGTAATGTTTTTCCCTTTTTTGTAGTTTTTTAGTTTCACGAACTTAATTGAAATATAAAAAAGGCCATTTTAAAAACAGATAGCTATATCCTCTGATATAAAAATTTAATTATTCACCAGAATTTTGTTTCATCAAATTCTAAGGATGTTGTGAAACCATTTTAACATGCATAAACATAAAACAGTTTTTCCAATGAGCCTCAATCAAAAATGATTTACTCTTTATTTTATAATATATTTTTATTGATTTCAGAGAGGAAGGAACAGAGAGATAGAAACATCAGTATTGAAAGTAAATCACTGATCTGCTGCCTCCTGCATGCCCCTACTAGGAATTGAGCCCGCAACCTGGGAATGTGCTCTGATCAGGAATTGAACCAGGATCTCCTAGTTCATAGGCTGAAGCTCAACCACTGAGTCACCCCAACCCAACTACCCTTTTCTTTTGATGAGAGCATTTTGTAAAAAGGAAACTTTAAGAATGAGGCAGGGGTGGGGGTCAGTGGGTAGGGAGTGATTAACTTACATGCATAAATGCATAGCCCTTGAACACAGACAATAGAATGTGAAGATCTGGGAGCTGAGGGGTGGAAGGGGTCATTGAGAAAAATAAAGAGACATCTGTAAGACTTCGAACAATAAGGATAAATATTAAAAATAACATTCTTAACACCTTACCTTCTGTTAACAATATGATCAGCCTCATTATAAAGTATGATGATTTGGGGATATATTTCACAGTATGTCAATATTTATTGGATAACGACTTTATTTCTCTAACATTTTAAATATACAAATATATTTAGTTATAGTATAAAATATAGGTTCACTATATGTGGCTAAACCTTAATTTTTATTTTTAAAACTTACAGATTTTGTGATGCTTAAAAAACGAAACTTGAAAATGTTCAAAAGCCAAGTATGACAATACAAACTGTTCTATACTTCACCCCTTTGCCCGATACAGCATAAGATAGTTTCTGTAACTGATTGTTTCCCTAACAAGTGTAATTTTAAGTCCAAAGTGAGTATTAATGAATGGCCCCAGATTTCTTTTTTTAGTCATTAAAATTTCCTTAAAAATATTACTTAATAACCTACACATGGGTCACTTAGTTATGTAACAAATTAATGAATGAACTTTGGACTTGTACTTTTTAAAGATACTTAAAAATAAGCAAATGGATCAAAAAATGAGTACTATTCTATGAATAAAATGTTTCTATCATTCAGTGTTCAAAGGAAAGATATGTTTAATTTTTTAAAGTGTTATTTCCCTCACTATAAATTGCTGTGCCTTTTCCATTTAGAATTCTTAAAAATATGTTTTGGTTAGCTATTAGAAAATAGCACATCACCATATGAACCTCAGCAAATTTTTTACAAAAAAAAAAAAAAAAAGAGGTATTTTTTTTTCAACACTAGGTTTTTACTAGGTGTCATAAACTGTTCCCTATAAAGTGAGCCTTCTTCCCAAAGTCCTCAAATGCTGTTACTGAAGTTAAAGTGGGAATGAATTTATGTCAAGATAGTAGAGACGTTGATATTTTTTCCTGAAAAGCAAATCTTTGGGGGTATTTGCCTCAATCAAAATGATGGTGTGCGTAGCTGAAATCACCCGCTAGCTGTGCTGACGGCTCCTGAGGTAGCACTGACAAATTAGAAGAATCTATCATCAGGCCTACACCAGTCTATTTATGCCATCCACTGGGATTTAATGTCCAAAACTCACTGAAGGAAACCATATTTCAGTAAGAATGCTTACTGAGGTGAGCTAAAGCTCTAGAATTCCCAAATGAGAAGGCTAAAGCCAAATTGAAAAACCAGCGTTATTGAAGTCCCAATTCAGCCCTTGCATAAGCCGTTTCTTCAGGAGCCAGTGTAGTGGATCCTTTTATCAGTTTGCCAGTAGCTCCTTCCTTAGGAGGATACCTGAATCCATAGTTTCATAGTATAGACACCCTGGGATCAGGAGCCACCCATTCTTCCTCAGTGCTTCCCCTACCCAGAGGAGTAGCTGTAGGTCAGTGCTAAAATGTTCAAGCTAATCAGATTTCAGTAAAAGTCTGTTCCCACATTCACCCGAAATTGGAGGTTCCTACAGCAGAGCTAGGAGTGACTTATTATCACTGTGGTAATTTTTCAACCTAGTTTAAATGTCTATAAAATTCTTTCTTGAACTTTAATTCTCAAAATAATTCTATTAAACTTCATGTTTATTTTCTGTATGTGAGAAGAACAAAATATAAATTCTCCATTATAAACACACTTTTTGGTATATGAAATTTTAAGGGTCCCAAAGTATTCCTGATTCTGTAGCATAGTGAGAAGTACTAGTGGAAATTTAAGTAAAAAGTACCTTGTTTGAATAGCTACTTTCTCAAAATGACACACATTTGGATAGCATCCCTTTAGATTACATGGGATGTCGAGTGTTTTCTGTATTTTTATAACTTAGAGAAAAATGTTTACTTAATCAATCCACTTCATTCTTGCCATTTTAAAACTTTCCCTAGAAATAGAACTTTGGCATAAAGTGGCTATCGTCTTGTTTAGTAGGTAGAGGTGTCCCATGGCAGCACAGCCTAACCATCCGACAACAGATCCAGCCTCACAGAGAATTGAATCTTAGACTAAATCTCTGCACATCAGAGGCTCCCAGAACAACTGTCAGACCTACCATGCCTAGCATACAGGAAGCACTAAAAAAACTCAATATGTTAACTGATCCTCTATGCCATAAAACACATTTTCCTGATGATTGGCAAGCCAGTGCTTTATTAGGATAAAACCGCACAGAGCCTTGGGAAGCTCCTTGTTTCACACTGGTGGCATGATGAGCGTTTATTACCAAGATGCAGGAGTGGCTCAGGAGGGGGATACACACGCATTTCCTCAGTAGTGTGGGAGATTGGAGTGTTGGAAATAAAGAACCCCTAAGTGATTAGGAAGCAATTTCCACTTTCAGGTTACTGGCAGGCAGTGGCTGCTTCTCTTTGAGAAGCTGGGCTCTCCGAGTGGAGGGGCGAATAAAGAAGGATGTTGTGCCCTGGCCCGTTGCTCAGTGGTTAGCGTGTCAGCCCTCTGACCGAAAGGTCATGGATTTGATTCCGGTCAAGGGCACCTATCTCAGTCGCAGGCTCAATCCCCTATCAGTGTGTCTCTCTCACATCAATGTTTCTGTCTCTGTGTCTCTCCCTCCCTTCCACTCTCTAAAAATCAATTGGGAAAAAATACCCTCAGGTGAGGATTAACCGAAAAGAATGATGTGACAACTTAGACCTAGCCACAAAACACCAGCATATTTTAAAGGGAAAGAGTGAGCACACTTGGCAATAGAAGCTAAAAATTGAGGCTACAAATGAAGGCTCTGCTTGCCCAGCCAGTGTAATTCATTCTCTATTTTGGCACTGGCTACTCCGTTATTTCCCCTCGCACTGTTCCTGCCTTCTGCCCCCTGCTTAACCCATGGGAAAAAGGTGGCTGTGCCTTCAGCTGCTATTAACAGGAAGCTGCCGAACAAATACTTCACATGAGGATCTTCACTGCGGCTTTCCATCTCCCAGCCGTACTGAGGGATCTGCGCTTCTATTTCCCTATCTGCTTCAGGGTTATGAAGAGTCAGTCATCCCCCAGATAACGGCAGAGTGTGATAAAGAAATCTCAGAAGCAAGTTTGTTGTAGAACTTAACCTCTGCTCCTGGTACACAGGCGTAGATGACATGAACTATTATTCACCTGCTTAAAGGTTAAATTACCTGTGTAAAAAAGTAGGCAACATCCTAAGCTCCTCTCACACATTCACATTAATTAGGCTCCCTTCAGTGATAGAAAAGGAAGATTCTAATTAGGAGTTTAAACTAAAAAGATATTCTGGATCCATTCCCAGCAAAGGTTAATAATGAATTCATGTGCCGTTTTAAAATGTGACAGTTTTCTGTAAAAAAAAAATGCTGTTTTCAATAAGCAAGTATTCTGCAGAGGTAATTTCCAAAGAGTGCACAACACAGGCACTGATTTTAATTGGTCTTGTCCTCCTGATGAGAAAGGGGCAGGATCTGGCCAACTACTCTTATTTTTTTCTATAACGTCCTTTTGTTGGTTTCCTCTCCATTTCTTCCTCCCCCTCTCCCCCCAAATCTTGGCAAGTTTGGAATTTTCAAGAATCTGGATAGAAATGCATTTTCTTAGGTGTCAAGTTTTCATTACCTATTGTTACTCTAAATCAACAGGTTCATTCGCAAAAGGCTGCAACAAAGCAAGTCAGTCAGATGCAAACCAGGTTCATGGAAAAAAGTGTCCATGGTGAGGGCAGTGCTGAGCCCTCTGCCACAGGGAGAGAAGTTCAGAAAGAGGAGAAGCGGACTAGATCCTGTAACAAAGAAGCCGCGCAGGTGAGAGGTGTTTTTGATTCTTTCTCCTTATGGCATACCTTCACTATGATTTCATAACTAAAGTGTTACATCAGAATATGCCCTTTGGGAATAAAGATGTCTTACTTTCTTCTGGGGGCCTAGGTTGTCTAGTTTTGTTAAATGAGAAGGGACAGTCAATGTCCTATCCAGCAGGTGAACGCAAAGCAGCCAACACCAGTTATCAGAGGAAAAGAATGACAGTGAATACATTTGCCTACAGATCTGATTTCTTCCTTTAGCCCAAGAATGTAATGAAGTGCACTTAAATTTTTATGCCATCTATGATCCATTAGGGACTCTTAATGTATTCCATACTTTTACTTTGATGCCTCCACTCTAACCCTTATAATCAAGTGTAAGTGAAGTGTTCCTGTCAGTATGGTTGCATTTTAAAATGATGTACTTTCTACATCATTTGATCATTTGGTTGGATAGTGACTCACCTTTAGCAGACGACACTCAGCCAACAGCAAATGTCTTTCCTAACCTAAACTTTTTGACAAGAGTACAATGTATTTATATCCTCAGGGAAAAAAAAAATTAAAAATACCAGAAGGGCCAATATGTTATATGATTTGTACACCATCATTTTCCCAAATGTGAAGTAGAAAAATTTAACTCCCCCACTTTCTACCCCTCACCCCTTCCCCCCAAATTGGTATATCAGGCAGTTGTGATGTTAATCACTAAACTGAGCATTGTAGTTGCATTTGAACTTCTTGGCAGACAAGGCAAAATTAGAAGCATACTAGTTAGTCATTTCATGTCCATCCAGTAAGCATACAAACTAATAGAGAGAGAGATGCCCAGGTTCCAAGCTTAGGAACTGACTCATTTATTTTCATTGGATGGCAGTGTGATGTGTGTGTGGATTTTATCACTCCAGAAAGTTCTTCCCTTTCTCAGCCAGTCCCTTCCTTCACCTTGGGGACAATCACTGTTTAGACATTTATAATTCTCTTCAGTGGATTAGTTTTGCCTTTTCTAGAATTTCACATACATGTAGTCATACAGTATGCACTTTTGCGTCTGTCTTGACTCAGCATGCTTTTTGAGATTTATCTATACTGTTGCATGTATAAGTAATTTGCTTTTTCTTGTTGAGTAGCACTTGTTTTAACTATATCATAATTCCCATATCCATTCTCTTACTAATGTACAATTGGGCTCCCTGGCTCTAGCCACCACAAATATAGTTACTATAAACATTCTGACACAAGTCCAATGGACGTGTTTTGTTTTTCCTCCGAGATGAAACTGCTGGGTTTCATTATCAGATGCATATTCAGCTTTATAAAAAGCTCAAAAATGGTTCCCATTTTATTCTTCTCCTGGTAATGTACAAGAGTTCCATCCTCCCTAACATTTGGTGTTGTCTTTTATTTTAGCCATTCCAACATGTGTCTTAGCATCTCATGGTGATTCTAATTATCACTTACTTGATGACTAGTAATTTTAAGCACCTTTTCATGTGCTAAATGCCCATTCATAAATCTTTTGTTAAATGTCTTTTCAAGTGTTTTGATCCATTTTCAGTTAATTATATTATTAAGTTGTAAGAATTCCTTATATATGTTACACATAAGTCTTGGGTCCTAGGTATATCTGTATTGTGGATATATTCTCCTTAGTGTGCAGCCTGTTAGCCGTGTCTCTTTCTAATTGTGGACAGTATTAGAGATGCTCCTCCCACCCTACCCCATCTCACTTGCCTACCTTTAACCAAACCCTTTCATCCTCCCCTCCCTTCACTCTGGCCAGCACCACACTGTTACGTTTATGGGTTATGCATATATGTATGTTCTTTGGCTAATCCCTTCATCTTCTTTCATCCACTCCCTCTTTCCCCTCCCCTCTGACAGCCACTTAAATAGTGTCTTTGATAAGAAGCAGCTATTATTTTTTAAAAATATTTTTATTGGTTTCTAAGGAAGGGAGATGATGGGAATCGAACCTCAACCTCCTGGTTCATAGGTTGATGCTCAACCACTGAACCACACCAGCCAGGCAGTATTTGTTAAAGATCAATTAACCAATTTTTTGCTTTGCAAATTTTTTTTTATTTTTTGTAATGAAGCTTTTGTCTACTTTAAGGTCACAAAGTAACTTTGCTATATTTATATATTTAGAAGGCTCATTGTTTCAGGTTTTGTGTTTGGGTCTGCAAATCATCTCAAATCAATCATGCTTATGGTGTGAGGTGGGAAATAGGAGAGGCACAGCTTTTTATGGTTTCCACATAGAACAGAGCAGGTATAGGCCGGTTCTGTCCTGTAAACCTGCTACTCCTCAGGTCCACTGCTTAGAGATTTTCTCAACGTTCTTTGGTCTGTGCATATTGTGTTCAGATTGCACCTGCTTTATGGCCAGGCTGCAATACATAGGATCCAAAAAGAGGGAGCTAGGGGTGAGACTCGTGGTTGGTTATTCTTCATGTCCTGAGGTCTCTATCCAGTCTGCCTTCTATTGTGCAACTTTCAGAATGTTTTATTAGTTTTTTTGTTTTTTTATCCAAAGTCTTTAGTTGTAATTAGCAGGATGTTTCACTTAGAATGCTCTTACTCTGTCTTGTCTGTTAACAGATGCGCTCATTTTCATTTTGAAGGCTTCACTGCGTATGGAATTTTACGTTCTTAAAGATGTTTCCACCTTTGGGTGTGTGTTTTTCTTGTAAGAAGTTAATGATTATTCTTATTGATCCTGCTTTTAGATTTTTGGGGTGGGGAGGGGGGGCGGAGAGGGGGAGATGGCTGTCTTGTATTTATTCTGCTTGGGTTCATTGAGTTTCTTTTATCATTGGATTGATATTTGTCATCAAACTGAAAGTCAGCTATGATTTCTTTTCTGCCTTAACCCCTCTTAATTTCTTCTTCTAATAACCAAATATATGCAGCTGAGATTGTTTTATCTTTTCTAACAGATAACTGAAGCTTTGTTCATTTATCAAATCACTTTTTTATGTTGCTGTATTTCAGTTTGGATATTGTTTTGCTGGGTCTCTCATTGATTTGCTAGATTTAAGAGCTGATTTGACAATGAAGTTTTCATATTTTTCAGTTCTACAAGTGCATTATATTTTCTATTTCTCTGCTGAGTCCCCAGTCTGTTCAGTAATTGTGCCTAATTTTTCCTTTAAGCCTTTGCGCATATTTATGTAGATGTTTTATTATTTGATAATTCTACCATCTGACTCATATCTATTTCTTTCTCCTAGATATGAGTCAAAATTTCCTGCTTCTTATGTGTAGTCAAGTTTTATTGAACATTCTGGATGCTAAGTTCTTGAGAGTCCAGACTTGATTAAATAGTTTTGAATTTTGTCCTGGCAGGCAGTTAAGTTATTGGTAGTTCAACTTGATATGTCCTGACTTCTGTTTAAACTTTTATAGGCTGCCCTATGATAAAAGTCATCTTAAGTTGTAGTCTAAGTTGGTACCTGTATTTTGTCCAACTTGATTGTTGTATTAATTTCATGGGATTTCAAAGCAAGAGGAGAAATCTGATCAATACCCGATTACTCATGGTCAGAATTAGAAGGGGTGCTCAGAATGCAGTTTGATAGAATCACTTTTGTCATATTGGGCTAGGATATATGCTGTAAGGGGATGTTCTGAAATTGTAGGCCACTATCCCTGGCCTTTAACCAGTAGATGCAATAGTACCTCTTCTCAGTTGTAACAACCCAAAATATCTTCACAAATTGCTGAATGTCCCTGTGGGACAAAATTTGTGAGGATCCAAGAGGATCGGGCCTAAACGGGCAATCGGACATCCCTCAAGGGGTCCCTGATTGGAGAGGGTCCAGGCTGGGCTGAAGGACACATCCCTGTGGATTTCATGCACCAGGCCTCTAGTTATTATAATAATTATCCAACACCTATAAGATTAAATCTTTTTTGTCTTGCCAAAAAATTCAGTTTTTATATTCTATATTATTTTTGGGTTAAGAGATAGCTTACTTTCTGGTTTAAAAGAATCAATAAAATTAATCAGATTTGACTGTTAGATGCTGGTAAGTACTTTATAAACTCCTAAAATACAGGATCTAAAAAAACAACTTCTCAGGTAAAATAAAGACAAAAAGTTTATTTAGCATGAGTATACAAAATAAATACTGGATAATTCAGATCTAACACTAAATATATCTTTTCCCATAGGAAAGCACAAGGAGAAGACAAAAATATTGTGAGTTGCAAGAATTTTTGAATGAAGTAAAAAGTTCTCCACAAAAAGAGAGCTTTATGCAGTTCCCAAACTCATTTTATGAACCCCATCAAGATCCTACCCATCCAGATACATTCAAGTCCAGATGCCCATCTTGGTACACGTGCACTTCCACAGCTGGTATGGAAGTCACAGACTTAAGTTCTACAGGATTTTGGTCTGCAATTTCCCAGTTTACCCTTAGTGAAGAGGCAAAAGCAGACGTATATTATTATGGCTTCATCATTCTTTTACTTTTGATGTTAATGGGTCTTGCTTTATATTTTCTCTGAAGATATTGAACAAAATCCTTTTGATAGCTTTTAGTTATTCACAGAAATGTTACGTTCTTATTTTAGGGCTTTCTCCCAGACATTTTCAAGGTAATTGGCTTTAAAAAAAAAAAAAATACATTTTAACAAAGTTTGTGCACATTCTAAAAAAACATTAAAAATTGCTTTTATACAAGAAATGGTGTCATGATATAGTTTGGAAAATACTTTTCTAAAGTTTCAGATCCCCAGAAAATTTTAAAATGTTACTCCAAAAAAGAGGGATTACCTCCTCTTAGGATCAAAGGAGCAATCTGATAATTAATGTATCTTAGAAAGTTTTAGAAAAGTTTACATAAAGATATCTTCTAAAACACATAACTAAACGCTAAGGATATTTTATGAAATGTGATAGCTTACCTTACTACAATATGGACATTCACCAAATAAAATGTTAAAACTCTGTCGACTAGTCTGCAGTCCTCTCAACCACTGAAGATATTAAAGAGAAAGGAAGCAGTGTTAGCATGATTACAGATAATACCAAAAAAATTTTACTTTCTTAAATCTCTTTTGCAAGAGTAAGGGGAATATTTTCTGAGCCAATGTCAGACTACTAATATGTGGAATAACAAGGGAAACCAACATGGATTTCCAGGTTTATATCCAGTGCTGTATAACTAAATTATGGACCCCAGTAAGATTTTGATGAAAATTATCTTTTCTATCCCGGAAACAGACAAATAATGCATATGGGGCTCACAGATCTGCCTAAATACATTAATTGCAATTTAAGACCTAATGTGATGAAAGATACGATAGGCTCTTGAAAAGTTAAGTCTTAATTCTGGTGTTAATCACCAATAGTGGGTTAATTCTCAAAAATTAGTTACAAGTATCAGTTCATTTTTAAAAACTGAATAAATTCATTATTACAAAAGAAAACACATGTTCCCTTAAGAGAATCCCTATAATTAGAACTGATATGCTTTTTAAATAAGGTAAACTGACATCTCTAACTCAGTTACCCCCTGTTAAAACCAGGTAGTAATACTATGGAAGACTTAGAAAATTGAAAGCACCAAAAACTGCTAAGTGGTTTGTATGTAGATGCACATATAGTTTAACATGAGTCAATTGTGCACTAAGATGAATGCTATACAGAGCAAATGATGAGAGACAGGAATAAAAGCAGACTTCAATATAGCAAATAAAATGTCACTTAAAAGTGTTGTGAGATACTCGGATCACAAAATGTGTTCTCATTTATCAAACGTAAGATTTCATTTACTCTATACTTAAATCTAGCCTAAAAAGTAATAGGTGCTCCTTAGTGCTAGTTCCCCTTCACCTTATTGCCACTACCACTCCCAACTAGGTGAGTTAATAGTTTGCAAGTGGTTACATGAGGTGTTTCCGGAAAGATTCTAGTGTACCATCAATTTAATTTATGTGTCAATAGGAGTCCATGAATGTATTCTGGACATGATGAAAAAATGAAGCACAAGGACATCTGGAATGAACTAGTAGAGTAATGCAGGAGCTAATGACAAAACAGGAGATCATATTGAAATAGATTTTTAAGTCTAAATATTTCAAATTTATATTCTTTGTTGTGTTAGCTGAAAAAGTGTCTTATTTTTATTTTACCTCATATAAGCATATTTGATGGAAAGGCTGTCCACACTGGGAATAATCACACACTTGATCAGGAATGGCACCATCAAGTTGATAGGCATAACAAATTCCACAATCCATAGAAAAATCCTTCAAAAGAAATATTTATAAGTGTGTTTAAAACTTACAAAATAAGATGAGACAATGAATATGGTATAGATAATATTAAATTTTTATAATTATAGTTTTTATAAAGGTAACTATCACTATATTATAGAAAATAGTCACATTACTATTTAACACTTAAGAAAAGCTATTTGTATTGTATTCATCCAATAAATTATACACATGGGTATATATTTAAAAAAAAAACACAGATTCTGTTTATTCTCTCACAACATGTTTGGGCTTAAGTAATTTTCCCATATTGTACATCAATATACACTCAAGTATGTAAAAACAGGAACTAATACTAACTGAACTTCGAAATTGTGTTAACTAAAGGAAAAAGACAAAAAAAAAAAACACACTTTAGTGTTCTACAATTTAGTAGCTTTGTCAAAAATCAATTCTAAATTTATTTGCAGTGCAGACTTGTCTGTTCAGTTTTGAAAAACTGTACTGCTATCCTTAAACACATATTAAGCTAATCAGAACTTCATTTCAGTCATCCAGAAGCATACAGTATAGAAAATCCAAACATTTCATTAGCTACTTTGGACCTTTGCCTCTATTTTTAGTAATAAAGATGTCTGTCAGTCAATTTACTGTTACAAAGACTATGAAAAATACACATAACCATCAGTCGAAGGTTAACAAGTTCTTTCATGCAACTTGCTTGCAGTTCAGAAGTCTGTTATAATATTCTTCCAATTCCCTCACTTTCAACCTCATTTTTCTCTGGTGCCTAAAAGAACTTTTAACTTTCATTCTTCAACACTATTTGGGATATCAAAGCAATGAAAACACTTACAGATTTTTCTAGGACAGCACGAGCTGGGAAATCAATTTCTAAAACATCTTTCAAATTTTGTAATAGAGTATTTTCTGGATCCCTGAAAGCATAAATTTTTTTTAATTAAATTTGTAACGTCATAGAAAAGTAATAATGCTATTGCAAAGATACCTACCACAAATGTATGTTTCTGCTCAGCTTAATTCCCAGGGGTTTCACCACTTCAGATATTTAAAGAAATAAAAAGTTTAATAATTTAGAGGTTGCTGTTCTTATTTTGTAAAACCACATTTGGCACAAAATTTGTTTCCAACTTAAATTGGCATACAACACTGTTTTAGGTGTACAACATCATGATTTGGCACATGTACATATTGTGAAATGGTACCACAAATTAATATCCATTACTAGATATTTTTTTCTTAACATGAAAACTTTTAGAGATCTCATAGTAACTTTCAGATATACAATATAGTATTAACTACAGATTTTGTTTTACTACTGCATTAGAAAATAAAATATTAAAAACAAAAGTATGCAGTTGAAATGAGGTTTTCATTTGAAATAATTCCCCCTAATATTTTAGAGTAATATTTTAGCAGTAGTAGACAAGGATTTTATGATTCTGTTAAAACACTTGAACCTGAGATTGCACACCATGGTCAGCACCAAGGAAGCAGCACTCGGGAAGCATGGTGGGGTGCTTGGGGTCCACCTCGATGTGGATGGAAGCATTGTTCCCTAAAATAAAAGATATTAAAAGTTTTTACAAAAAAATCAAGGAGCATCTGGCTGGGTGCTTATTTCATTGTATATATAAGAAAACAGTAACCAAATGCTTTATAAATTTTTCATAAAAGTAAATATATCACTATATTATAATTTCATTAAAAGCTATAAATTTTGAAATTATAATTGGCTAAAGATTTGGGGACCCTAAGTTTCAAAAAACAGTCAAACCATAAGTTAATATAATTAATTTAGATCAGAATCTTGGTTAGCATTCTAATAAAGTGTAAATACAAGGTTCTATGGAATGTTGTTTTTTTTTAAATTCATAAATCAAATATGTAAGAAATACCTAAATTACTTCTCATGACTTTCTTGGAAATAATAGAACTATGGTCAGAATTATAGACTGAAAGTACAACAAATGGTAAAAAAAATAAACATGCTTAAGATTTGAGTTTTATGAAGGTTTATAAGAATTCTTTTGCTCCATGTGAAGTTTCCTCCTGTAAGTTAAATGGTTCAATTCCTATTAAATTTGAAAGTGTTCATTTAGTAAAAACAGCAACTAATCTTGCTTGCAGAATCTATTAAAAAGCTATTTCTACTTAGTACCAGACCTTTTTTTTTTTTTTAAATCAATTTTAACTACACAAGAGTACTGTACAAATTTCATATATTTTACTATTCTTGAAGGTACACAGTATAATTGTTTTAAGGACAATTTGAATTTCATTTTAATGATAAAAATGTCTTGATAAATTCTATACTCTATAGTGTATAAGCCTTTGGCTAACTGGGTAACAACACCCTTTGTAGAGCTGTTGTACAATTATACTTTCCTCTTCTCCTAACAATGTAAGTACAATTATTACATATCTGGCAATAACATAACCAAAGAAAATAAATTTGGTTTTCTCATTCAATGAGAAAAATAAAAATACAAAAAGTTAATTCATAATCTCATTTGCTAATGCATTCTTTACCATGAACACAAATTCTATTTTAGCCTTTGAATCCAGAAAATACTTTCCTTTAACAGTGGTTATTAACAATGGCTATATTAAGTAACCTTTTAATTAATTTGTTGAAAACTTGGTCTTAAAAAGGTAAATCAATGTCTACCTTTTAGGTCTTTTTTTTTAACAAACTGGGTAACAATACTCTTTATAGTATGCCTGGGTAAAAACTCTAAAAATTGCTCAGTAATTGGGATATGATCCACATCAGAATTTTAAGATATCATTCGGAATATATGATTTGTAACAATGTATTTATTTGAGCTAGGAAAAGAGGGAGGAAAGATCTGAATAGGTATCTTCTAACCAACTACAGTATTTAGTGTGATCTCAAACGGAGTTTAAAATATCTAAAATCTTGAAAGGCAGACCTTGAAAATGGTTTGCTTGCTCATAATTAAAATATATAAAACAATAATTTTATAGTAAAGGGAATATGGTGATATTTAAAGGATGATATTTACATTTATTTCATATATTATGAAAATATTTCAAATATATTCAATTATTATTTTGTGCTTTTTGTTTACTCTTCAAAGGCCTGTGAGTTATTTTATTCTCTTCTATATTTTTTCAGAAAATATTCCCAGATTTGTTCACACACATCTTCTCTTGTTTCATGGATGAAGACTTCATTATTTCTAACATAGTTCTTTTTCCTAATGTAATGTAAGGTTTGAAAAGCCTGCTCCAGTATTTCTGTGCTAATTAAAAGCTAATTTAACACCATCTCTGAATGCTGCTTCCATTGGATCATCACCTTCTATAATGAAACACCTCAGTACTTGCCCTTTTCCCCTGGAATATTTACATTTAAATACATAGTACTAAAAAAAAGCTCATCCCAGAAAGTTTTAATAGTTTACTTCATGCAGCAAAGTCTCACCTAAGAGTCCAATGTCATCTTTAGATACATTTTCCTAAGTAACACAAAATATAATCAAACACGTTAAAAAGAAAAAAAATTCATTAATCTTTTTCCCCACCTACTACAATTCTGCGTGCTGTTGCACTCCGTGTAGGTTTTTCTGGATCAAGAACCCAAGTCTTCTCATCGATTTCATCCATAACATCCCAGAATGACTTTAGTGATTCCAAAGCTGCCAAAAACTGACTGTGAATGCTTACTATGGAGCTCTGTAAAAAGATAGATGAACGCTGAATAAGTTGTATGGCACATACCATCTTTCACTTTTATTTTAAAATTCAAATTTAGAATTTTAACTGGTTTATTTCAGCTAAAAATAGACTCTTGTAAACTAGAGTCAACTGGCTCTACTTCACACCTCTTCACCTCCATCAGTATTAACAGAATTCCTTTATACAATTCTCAAGAAGACTGGCTTTTTAATGTCATTTTTAAAATTTTTTCATTTATTTGTATGATGAATTTTGTATTATATATTGTATATGACATAGTAACTACTAATACAAGATATATATATACAACTACTAAAGTATATATATTTTGGGCAGTATTAAACAATTTTATAATGAAAATATTTCCATTTTTGCTATCATTGTCAAGTTAAATGCAGTACTATTAGCAACTTAAATTATTTTTAAACATTATGGATGAATAACTTTTCAGACTTACAGTATATATAGAAAAGCTTATAGAAACTAGAGCTTAATGTCTGAGAAGAACATTTCACAATACTGAAGGTAGAATATCTGTTCTCTTCTGGTATACTACACTTACCTACAAGTTTAAATGTCAGAATCCAGAAATCAGAAAACTAAACTCACAAGTGTGTGTGTGTGTTTTATTATGGGCTATACTTTATTACTTTTTCCCACTGGTTTCACCATAATTTTTGAGATTACAAAAAAAGAAACTTCTAGATCCTTCTAGAAGTCCTTACACCTAGTAAATTTAATAAGTTAACATAGAACCTGATTCTACTTTAACATATTTATCTTGACAACTCTACTACCCAAGCATATATGCCATTAGAATAATTCCCTAGTTCCTGTTTCCATATCCAGACTAGCCATCCTTGACTTTAACTACCTTACTGTAGAGTACTTGATCTAAAATATAAAACTGAACATATCAGTTTCCCACCCAAAACCATTCATATCAACTTTTTAACTGTATTCCCCTCTCTAGCCATATTCCCCTAAAGCCCATTTATACTGTAATTAAGTTGATTGTTCTATCATAAAACAGTTTTGGTGCAGTTCTTATCAAAATATTTTTTTCTTTCTAATACCACTACTTAATGATAGTAAACAAGTTGCAAAAGCTGTTCAATAAATATTTAAACTGAACTACATAACATAAGTAATCATTGATGATTATCCTATTTCTTAAGTTTACCTTTATATACAAGAAGCTTGCAAATTGTGTTTTATTATATTACTGATTAAAACCACAGTTCTTTATCATGGCTTGCAATTATCATTCTTTTTTAGTACGTATACACAGATATGTTTACACAGAGTAAAGGAACACTTTCCATAGATATATTTACAACTACAAGGCTTAGTAACTATCTTCTCTAAATCTTACCCAAATCTATTTAAGCCAGATGGAGAATTCTAGAACTCCTCAGCCATTTCCATATAGATGAACACCATAGGGAAAAATATACTTAACTAATATTTCAACCACTTGATAGGACTATTTTCAAATCTAATACAAAGATTAAAAAATCCATAAGGAGAACACAGCTATAATCTTGATAACAAAGAACTGATCTTAACCAAGACATATTCAAAAACTGGAGCCTTAACACTGCAAATATAAAGATGGTTGTGCACAAATAGCTTCTAAAGTCACTTCCAGCTCTATAAGTTAAGAATTCTAAATATAACTTCAAAAGTCCATAAAGTAGGTCATTCTGTCCACTTAAAAGTATTTTTCAAGATCCTGATTACTATAATGTATTCCCATTTATTTCCAATTGTTTAAAAACAGATTTTAAATTGAACACACATATATATATATATATATATATATATATATATATATATATATACATACATACACACATTAAATGTAAATAATTTGTATGTTTTAATTTACAGCAATCATTTCTTTAATCCAAATAACTATGTATCAGCCCAGCAGGCATGGCTCAGTGGCTGAATATCAACCTATGAACCAAGAGGTCACGGTTTGATTCTCTGTCAGGTTACATGCCCAGGTTGTGGGCTCGATCCTCAGTGTGGGGTGTGCATCATTATTGATCTTTCTCTCTCCCTCTCCCTCTCAGAAATCAATAAAAATATATATTTTTTAAAAAAAGAACTACATATCAGAATCAAAATATTTGTCTTAACCTTAATAATAAAAGGGTAGTATTTAAATTGACCCTAACAGTGGAATGACTGGTAGCTATGACGCCTACTACCAGGGGTCAGACACTCAATGCAGGAGCTGCCCCCTGTTGGTCAGTGTGCTGCCACAGGGGAATGCTACTCGGTCAGAGGCTGGCCAGGATGTCCGTCTAACATAGGAGTGTCGAACTCAATCAGAGAAGGGGCCAAAATCTAAAATCCAGCCTAAATTGCGGGCCGAATGGTTTACTGAACAGTCATAAACTGTCATTGTGATGGAAACGCAGCGGAGTGCAGTGATGACAGCGCGGTGCGGGCCACATTGCAAGGCCTGGCGGGACGGATTTGGCCCGCGGGCCTTGTGTTTGACACATGTGGTCTAACAGCTTAAGAGCTGCCAAAGGGCCCTCGGACTGCCAGAGGGATGTCTGACAGCCAGCTTAGGCCCAGTCCCGGACTGCGAAAGGGCGCAGGCTGGGCTGAGGGACCCCCAGTGCACAGATTTTCATGCACTAGGCCTCTACTATTTTAGAACCTTATTAGAGGCCCAGTACACAAAATTCATGCACAGGTAGAGATCTCTAGGTCTGGTTGGCAATCAAGGCCAGCTGGGGCCTGCCTTCGTTCTGTGCCTCCCCCTGGTGGTCACGTCATAGCTACAGTCAAACTCCTGGTTGGTTGAATTCCTGAGGGGACAATTTCATATTAGCCTTTTATAATATTATATAGAATATATATAAGGAAGAAGTGAAAGATGCATTATAGAACTATTATTTAAAGGGGAAAATGTCAGTCTCCCAAAACTTTTGAGTTTTTGGAATTGGTTTGAAACCATAAATTCCTAATATTGGAAAAACAAAGCAGGTATATAGCTTAAATGTGGTGAAGATCCAAAAATAACACCAAAATATTGCAACTGGTTAGTTTACTAATCAAAAGTAGGTATCATCCTTCCTTTCACACACGCATAGGGCCAGGATTAAAGGAAAGGAAATGGAGGAACCAAGATATCTATGAGATAGAAATAAGCCTGGAGAAAAAAAGAGAACAGAAATTAGTATAAAAAAAAAAAACCAAACACAAAGTGCTTTGTTTCCCAAAGGCAACAAACTATCTCACAGAGAAGAAAAGTATTCCAGAAACCAGGACTATGATGTAGAAGCCTCTCACCCAAGCCTTCCGGTGTGGGAGAGAGGGGATGACAGGATGAAAACAACCTCAACAATATCTTGTCCTTAAAATGTAAAAAAAGAGAGTGATCCTGAGAAAGTTAGAAATTATAAAGCAAGGTGAGAAGAGTACATTCTACATTCTACTCTACTCCAAGAATTTGCAGCAAGGGCCCATGCTGAGGGCATTCCAACCACATCAGGTAAGTTTATATGTGTGTGTGTCTGTCTGCCTTGTGGTGTATAATATCTATATAGGTTGTGACAGAAGAATGGCACAGACTAAATACCAGAAGTTCGAAAACTGCCTCTATAACATTACATTCACAGGGAGCAGAAGATCTAAGTTTAATGGGGGAGCTGTTGCCTGAGATGGAGTCCAATTTCCTGTGTTAAAAGCAAAGGTCAGAAGAATAAAAAGACTATATTAATCCTGAGGAAAATCACTTCTCAGCCTTTTGGCTAAGATCAAGTGTAATCTTGAAGGGAAAAAATAGATATCTTTCCATGATTTGAAAATAGCAAGCATAAAGATATTAAGAGATCAATCTAATTTAGAATCACCTAAGGCACTTACCGTATTTTCCGGCGTATAAGACAACCCCCTAATTTTACAGTTAAAACATAGGTTTAGGCCTATATTTGCTGTATAAGACTATCCCCCACTTCAAAGAAAAGACTTACTTTGCCGTCAAGATCTGCAGGTAATTTTTGTGCAATTTTGGTCTTTTGCCCCCGATTTTTGGTTGACTTTTTTTCGTTTCAAAGGTCGTTAATGAAATTCTCTGCACTGAAATCAGAGTATCTGGACAGTTCTGTATATGGGCTTCTCAGTGAAATATCTGTATCTGGAGCCCCTACATTGATTCCAATAAACTTCTGAACAAAACTGGAAAGATTTCTGAACAGTCTTGTTCAGTATGATAGATCTGGCATTTAAACCTTGAGATCATGAACCATTAGAAAGTCTGTTCAAAAGTCACCAAACCGGAGATCCAAGATGGCTGCGCCCAGGTGAACACCTAGCCGCAGCCGCACACAACAATTTCAATAAAATACAACTAAAATATAAAACGGACATTGCCCAGAACTACAGGAAGGTTGACTGACTGGAAATTCTACAGTGAGAAGCAAGGAGAAAACCAGAAGGAGGTGCGGAGGAGCTGGAAAAGCCAAGGTACGGAGACGCGGAGACGCGGCGCGCAGAGAGGACAGAGCCGGAGAGGAGGGAGGCCGAGTGCCTGGCGGGCGTTCCCTAGCGGAAAGGAGATAAAACTCCGACTGTGCTGGGCCCCCAACTGCTCTGATCCCCAGTTTTAAGCCAGACCCCGGGGACTCAGGCTCAGCCATAGGGAGCCGGGCTGTAAGGCGGAACCCCGGGGAAGTGGCGAAAGGAGGTCCCAGCGGTGCGCACACTGCGCGCAGAGAAGGGACATTCGGCTGTGCCGCGGGATTGCCCTGACGGGAAGGAGACTGGGGCTCCAGACTGCTCTGAACGCCACCTCCAACTCCACTTCCAACTGAACTGAACCCCAATACCGGGCTCATTGTGGGAGAGCATAGACTGTTTGACAGCAGGCGAAAATCGAGGGCACCTTTCTCTCAGAGGCGCCGGCAGCGAGCTCTGACGGACCCGCATAGGGCGGGGCTGACGGAAGCCAAAGCTGCAGGCTCCACCCTGAA